GTGTTTTCATTGTACATTTTTTAGAGTAATACATAGCTAACAGGAATAAATTTTACCTAACGTGGTATATGTATACCAAGGAGCACTATACAGCCATAAAAAGATGGAGACTTTGCACCCTCTGCACTCACCCGGCTAGCTCTAGAGAACATTCTCCCAAGAAAAGTATTTCAAGAATGGAAAAGCAAGCATCCCATGCACTCAGTGTTAATCTGAAAATAGTAGATCAACAACTACAGGCCCCCGTGAGAGAAAAATATAACTAAATTCAAGAAGGGGGTAAAGGCTTGATAGGTTCTCACCTATTGGCACAACATAGGGGTATATGGCACACTTTCTGGGTGAAGAACTCAACTACAACTCAGACTTTGGACTTTACGAACTTCACCTTGCAAATGCAAATAGTGCAACCCAATTGTATATACACCCATATTAACCTGAAATTTAAAAAGCCCAGAAAACAACAAAAGGAAAAAGAAAGCTTCTGAGAAGTAGTAAGTAGCTAATTATTACAGACTTTCATGATTGTGTCTAAAAAGTGTCAGGCTGGTCTTAAACTCCTGACTTCAGATGATCCTCCTGCCTCGGCCTCCCAGAGTGCTGAGGTTACAGGTGAGAGCCTCTGCTCCTGGCTGTGGGCTAGATTCCTTCCTCGGCTCCTTGCAGTGTGGGTCTCCCCAACATGGCAACCTGCTTCACCAAAGTTAGCGAGAGAGAGTCTTCTAGGAGACAGAATTCACAGTCCTATGTAACTTAAACAAGTGACATCTTGTCACCTTTGACATATTCTGTTAAGAGCAAGTCACAGGTCCCGCCCACACTTAGAAGGAAGGGATAACATAAGGGCATGAACACTAGAAAGTGGACATTGTTGGCAGCCATATCCAAAGCTGCCTGCTACCAACAGCTGTTTTAGAAAAAGAGTATAGCATAATGGTTCGGCAGGAGGGTTGCTGTGTCGCTTAGAAATGACTTCAAATCTCAAATCTGACACTGTGTGGCCCAAGATAGGTTGCCTGGCCTCTTGGAGCTTGTTTACCACTCATGTGGCACCTTCCCCATAGAACTGTTGTGATCCTAAATGAGAAAGCGAGCCTGTCAGAATGTTAAGCACTCAGGAAATGTCAGTTACCACCTTGTCTTTTCATTCTTGCTCCTCCCCTTTTGAAAATTTTCCCATTATTTGAAATATCATTGATTTTTAAAATTTTATTAATAAAAGAACAGCGTGGACTCTCCAGTGCCCTCAGACTCAAGTTATTTATGTGGAAATCCCAATCCTGTGAGTAGTTCCTGGGCATGGAGCCACTGCCAGACTGGCCACACATATCCTTTTGGGTTTTCCTGGGGCCTCAGGAGGGCCAGAGCTCCCTGCCAGGGGGACCCGTCAGGACGGGGCAGTTGGGGCTCTCTGCAATGCCCCTCCCAGGTCTCCACAGGTCCCCACACTGGGGAAGGCTTGGCCATGGTAACCAAGAATGTGGCCAGTTGGCAGCTCTCTCAACATCCTTGCATTTCTGGTTGGGGTCTCCAAGGCAACCCACGATGACTTTGGTTTGTCCACAGAGCTGGGAGGCAGATGGAGCCCTTCTTGTCCATGTGCCCACCTTGACCTGGACCATGCCAAGCAGGTGGCCTGCCACCTTCTCTTACCTCCTGTCTCTCCACTCTGCTTTCGTTACTCTTACAGGCCTGGGGGTAAAGAGTGCTTGCAGAAGGCCACTGCTTGGCCACCTCCAGCCGCCCTGGGCTCCACCCTCCTTCCTGACCGGAGCATCTCTGCCTCCTTTCACACATCTAGATTCCCGCATCTAGAAATCCTATGCTTGGTCATGCTGTGGGCTCAGAGCTGGGGGGGGAACTTTCTGGAGTTACTCTGCCTCATTCACATCAGCTGTCTCATTCTAGAGGAGAAATGCTGGCCACAGGGGCCACTTCTATTATTTTTCTACAGAGTGTCCCCAAGATTACCATATATACATACATAGGGAAAATGGAAATTGTAGCTAAATGTATCTTTATTTATAAAATATTCATTGTAAATTTTTACAAAATATTTTTCTACACATTAATATATAAATATAAAAAATATAAAATGTAATGTGATTTTCTATTCGGTTCCAAATGTCAGTGTCTCTGTTTTTGTGCCACATACTGTTTTGATCACTCTGGCCTTGTAGTACAGCTGAAAGTCTGGTAGGGTATATGTATGCCATGGAATACTATTCAGCCACTAAAAAGGATGGAGACTTTACCTCTTTTGTATTACCTGGATGGAGGTGAAACACATTCTTCAGAGTAAAGCATCACAAGAATGGAGAAGCTGATGGAAGTGTTTTGGATTGTGGGTGAAAACCCCACACTGTACTCCAGAAGTGCATTAATGTACATAGTTACCATTCAATAAAAAAAAAAAAAAAGAATGGAGAAGCAAGAATCCAATGTACTGTATTCGAACATGAAGGCAGTAGATGAGCCTATAAAGTGGGGTAGGGGAATGAGCAAGTGGAGGGGGTTCCTGTGTATGGCACACCTCTTGGGGGCAGGACACAAGTATAAGAGGGACTTTAACTAATGCAGTCAGTGTAACCTAATTCTTTGTACCCTCAATGAATCCCAAACAATTAAAAAAATGTAATATGAATTTGTTAATTTTTCCTATGTATGGTGACCTTTGAGACCCTTAGTGACCTTTTGGGATTGACCTGTGTCAAACACCTGATACTGTCTAACTCGAGTGTCTGATGCAACCTCCATGCGGGGTAAGTGTTCCATCTACTTCCTGTCACCGAGGGCCTGGAAACACAGGTCTCAGTATGCCTAACTCTGACCCAGTCCCTCCTCCTCAGTATGGGAAATGAGAGGAGAGGTCTGCGAGCCTGGACCCTCTGGGCAGCCTGACAGTGCCTGCGAGAGCGACACACACATCTTAGCATAGTTTGATTCTTCAAAAACAGTTCTGTCGTTACTGTCCTTCCTCTTACATTTGCAAGAGATCACCATGTGAGGAAGGGTTTCCCTGGACCAAGTGACACATAATGATTACAGCTAACAGCAGCACCACATGCGACCCAGGTGCCAGACCGGCTGGTGTGGACCTGGTTACAAGGACTTGTGTTCCTGTGCACACACGCTCCTAACAGGTGGACGCTCTTGACAGCAGATGCAGGAAATTACAGTTTGAACGTTCTTTTTGTTTCTGCAGCTGTCACCCAGCTGCTGGAAGGGTGTTGAATTAGGATTGGGTAGGTGGTGAACTTGGTCACTGTTGAGGGAAGAGAGCTGTTTTAGTAATCCATGTCCCCAGTGGTACTTGTCCTGCTCTGGGGAGCTAGAAGGGAAGTTTCTGGGAGCCAGGAACGCTGGTCTCTGCCCCTTCTTCTGGAACACTGCATCGAAGTAGCATGCCCAGGAGAAGCAGCCACGAAGGCTGCTGTGTCTGCACCGCAGTTGGCGCTTGCTACCGGTGTCCAGTGTGGGGCAGTGTCCCTTGCATGTGGCACCAACAGTGAATTGCTTGTCTAGGAAAGAGTTCCTCTCCTAAGGGTTTTCTTTCCCATCGTGAATCCTCCCCAGTCAGGATGTATTCATAAACCACATCACTAAAACTATTCTAAAGACTAGAACACTTACAATTCACTTTTCCTTTTGATTTTTTGTACCCACTTGGGTATCCTATTTTTATGTCATCTCTTTTGGCATCATAAAGTTTTAAAACATTAGTTTGTTATCTTTTGATTTAATTTTATATCTCTAATAAGTACTAATTAAATCTGTAGCATTTAAAAAATAATGGAACTATTTTTATGTATTGGTGGCTTTTATATTTTTCATCTGGTTTCAGACACTTAAAGGATTTTTGAGCCAGTTTGCCTAAAAACCATTTCTTCAAAAATAAATTTTTTTGTAATGAGTCTGTTTTATTTTTTGTAACTTTGTGAAGTAAATATATTAAAATGTTTAAATATATTAAAATTTTTATTCATCTGCTTAATTTCTAATTGCATATTGGCAAGATCTAGTTAATTCCCAACTCAGCAGAAGGAAGCACAGACAATGTGCTAATTTGATCAGTGATAACTGAAAGATCTTACAGGCACGTGGAATAAAAAAAAATAGTTCAGATGCAAGAAGAGCAGAAGAGTGTTTTCTACATAAAATTCAAAAGGTTTATGAGTTGGAAACAAAATTTCAAAGTTCAGTCAAGTTGTTAAATAATTTAAAAAGTAGACTAAAGGGGACCCACAAAGATATAAAATAATTCCATCATTTATAAAATGCTGCAAATTCAAGAAGCACATGATACAGGTGTCCCAAAAAGTCACCTCTGAAGTCACCATACACAGGAAAAATGGTAAAATGTAGCTGTCTGTACTTTTATTTACAAAATATTCTTTACAAAATTTTACAAAATGTTTACAAAGTTTTCTATGTGTTGGTCACCTCTTTATAAATTTTGTAATGAATATTTTGTAAATAAAGGTGCATAATTTAGCTACAACTAACCATTTTCCCTACATATGGTGATTTCAGGGACACCTTTTGGGATATCCTGTAGAATTATAATATTAACTTGCAAATGGATTGCAAAATCCTAAAATTGTTGCAGAATTGTTTGCAAAATAAAGTTTTTGCAAAATCCTAGAAATGAATTGGTTCTAAAATTCTAAACAAGCCACCAGGATGTCAGAAAAGGAATGGGACACTTGAGAGGATGTGCAGATACTCAGCAGAGAGTCATCTTTTCAGCAAATTGCTCATTAGGCCAGTTGCCCTGCAGCCTCAGGGTAATAACAGCTCAGTAGAGTACAGTTATGGAAACTACTCACTGGTGTCTCTCTTCTCTCGCTTCCCTTTTCTTATTTTAATTGTCCTCATGCATATGTATCTTTCCCTATAAGCTCTTTAAAATCTTTTGGGGCAGTAGGTGGCCTAGAAATCATAAATTACACATTAAGTCATGTTCTGCCAACTCATACGCCCCCGCCCTCCTGTTGCAGAGAACAGCCCATCTTCACCACCCGAGCGCACGTCTTCCAGATCGACCCCAGCACCAAGAAGAACTGGGTGCCTGCCAGCAAGCAGGCCGTCACCGTCTCCTACTTCTACGATGTCACCAGGAACAGCTATCGGATCATCAGTGTGGACGGAGCCAAGGTACCCCTACTGACTATAACATTCCCACTGCTTAGTTTTCATCCAAAGCAATGTACCCCAAATCCTGATTTCTTAACACAGAAGTTATTATAATTATATATCTTGCTCTTGGCAAATGGGAGGAGAAATTTCCCTGTTACCACACTCTCTTTGCAACTAACATTTTAATGCCTGTGTAATAATCCCACCAAAGGCCTGTAGTGCTCTTAGTTTTCCCTTTCCGGTGGGATCTTTAAGTGGCTTCCAGTGTTTCACCATTATAGATAACATGCATCTTCAGGTAAAAAGGATCGAAAATGGGAGGAGAAATTTCCCTGTTACCACACTCTCTTTGCAACTAACATTTTAATGCCTGTGTAATAATCCCACCAAAGGCCTGTAGTGCTCTTAGTTTTCCCTTTCCGGTGGGATCTTTAAGTGGCTTCCAGTGTTTCACCATTATAGATAACATGCATCTTCAGGTACTAAGTCTCCTCGATTGTTCCTCACATACCTTTCTGTTGAATGTTTCCGAGAAGTAACACTGTAGGTCGAGATATTAACACTTTATGGCTCTTGGTGCCAAATTGCTTTCCAAAAGGATTTTTCTTCCAACATGTATGAGAATGCCAATTATTGCACCCTTGCCAGCATTAGGTATTCTATCTAATCTAGTTTTGGTGTTATTCGGCACAGGAGTTGAATTTTATTAGACAGTTTTAGAATGTTTCTTGAGATATTTTTTCCTCACACTTTCATTACTCTGCTGCCTCCCCCAGCAGAGTGTCTTTGCCACAGTCTCATGGCAGCAGAATGAAGCCCTGACACCAGTAGGGCTTCTTTTTTTTAAAGCTCTGCTGATTTATAGTCTCTCTCTCTCTTTAGTCTGTGTCCATCCTGCTGGACATTTTGTCTGTGGGTGATCTGCTGTCCCCTGCAATGTGATGTATCTGAAGTAAGGGCCCCTGTTTACCCTCTATTCTTATTTCCCAATCATTTGGGCTACAAAACAAATGGAGGGACAGACTTCCTTTCTAAGTCTGTCAAATGGATCTGCCTTTGAAATGTTTCCATTTACACTTTGTTTTCTTTTAAGACCGTGCTCTTGTTTCAGCACGCTCTTGCTTGGATGTTTGCAATAGCTTCCTCATCTCCCACCTGCAGTCCAGGCTGACTTCTGCCTCTAGGTCAGCTACCCAAGCAGTGAGGGGAGGCAGTGGCCAGTGCAGTGGGACCTGGGCAAAGGCAAAAGGCAGGGGGATGGTTCCTCGGGAAGATCCCCCGGGAGGGCATGAGAACCTGTTGGGGCCACCTGATACCTCAATATGGCCATTCGGCCGTGTTCCCTAAGTGCCTCCTCTGTGCCCTCTGTACCATGGGCACTGCAGGTAAAGGTGGCTTGGCCCCACTATCATCTTTCTCTTCTTGCCAGCTGCCACAACCCCTCTTCCCCCTGAGGAAGAGGGGCCACAACCCTTACTTGACAGCAGAGTTTGAAGGATAGACAGTGACCTGGCAGAGTTCACACTGCTGGGAGGCTTGCTGGCTGTGCCCAGCTCATGCCCAGCTCCACAGTGGCTAGTCCACAGCTTGTCAGGTCGGCAAGGAGTATTTCCTGATACATGCCTGCAGGTCATGCTGTCCCCTCACTCCAGGTAGCAAGCCAGCCTGGTGGATGGGTCTACAGAGTCACGGACCGGTCTTCTAAGCAGCGGGATGATAGTGCACCCTGGGGTTTGGTGAACAGTGAGGCATAACTTGCGGCACATGGCAGGCTAGCACCTCGCATCTGATGCATGAATGTCGGAAAGTTGCCTTCGTTTTTCTCCCTCCTGGGAGACACAGTGATGCTGCAGTGGTGATTGCCGCCGCCTCTGTGCCTCTGCACTGGCATTGCCCAGACTCTTTCCAGGATGTTCTGATAGGGCTAGGGAATCAAGCTGACCTGCTTCCTTTCATCTATAGATTCTGTCAGTTCATCTCTCATCCTCAGATGGGTTTGGACTTTTGTCACTTGAGTTATCCCAGGATATATCAAGCTTAAATATAGATAAAACGACTTTTCTTAGAGCAAGTGCTTTAGTTCTATTAGGTAGGTTTTTAGCAATTTGTCAAAGTGTCAACCACTGTATGGCTCTAGCTCTGCAGTTCTGAAGGCTGTGACAGTGTGGTAGAGTCTGAGCCAAATGAGACAGCTGTGAGAAACCAGGTGGGTGTGGGAGGGTGGCCAGACCCCTGGCTGCAGAGCACAGCTAATTCAGGCTCAGCGTGGGAGATCCGTCAAGTTAAATAGTCGTTTAAAAGGTGGGAACTAAAAACCTGGGCCATGGGGCACTGCTGGAATTCAGAGATCCAGCCAGGGGATCTTGGGCCACCGTTTCATGGTGCCTAGCCACCTGGTGTTCCCACTGCCCATCCAGAGTCTCTGCTTTTTGCTGCCGTGGCACCAGAGAACTGTGACTGAGCCTCATTCTGCCAAAGGGAGCAGAAGGCCCCAGAGAGTGGGGCGGTAGAGACAGGCCATAGTCCTTTAATTATAGTCACTGGCATTCAGGAATTGGGGAATGGGGGGGAAGTCTTCTGCCTGAAGAAATGGAACACAGCACACTGGAAGGTGACCCCAGTGCTGTATCAGCCCTGCCGGGCCATCTCTGGACCTGGTGAGTGTGTGATACCAGCAGCCTAGGTCTGGATCTGATCCTGGGCCTCCTGCTGCTGCTCCACCAGTCTGATGGGCATGGAGAGAGGTCTCCAGAGTGGTGGTTGCCACTGCCTGGCTCTCTGAAGCTTGCCCCCTCTGCCCATTGCTGAGGTCCTCGGCTCCCTGACCACAGCATCCACTCTGCCTGCCTTCCGAGTGGGAAGGGAATGGGGTGCAGTGCACTGAGTGGGCACACTGCAGGGGTCCTCAGCTCTGACCGCAGCATCCACTCTGCCTGAGTACTTGGCCTGCCTTCCGAGTGGGAAGAGAATGGGGTGCAATGTGCTGATGGGAATGGGGTGCAGTACGCTGAGCGGGCTGCTACCAGTGTTTAGATGCCAGTGTCTCCTGTGAGGGCTCTTGTCTTCTGCCCTGCCGTGCTCTCTCTGTCCCTGCCATCTCTGTCCAGTCAGCTTGGTTCTGCTGATCTGATTCCTGAGCATCCGCTCTGGGTCCATGTGTACCAGTCACCTCATCCTGCAGCCCTGCTCCCTGTCCACCTGCATATCCTGTGTCTCACGTGGGCTGCCTACTCAGGCCTGGGTGCACCTGAGCTGGGAGAGGACAGATACTTCCTGGCTCCCTATTATTGTGCCCCCACACTTCAAGCCTTTGTTCCCAAATGTTGACCCGAATTGAGATGAGGTGATGAGGCATCTTTAGCCTCTAGGTTGTGTTTCAGCCCACGGGCTGTCCCTTTGACCGTGGGCAGGTGTATAGCTCATGTCCTGCCTCTCTCTGTTGGCCTGGCCACATCAAGTCTGTGAACATGAGCTTCCACTTGTCACTTCAGAGCCGTCTGTGCCCCAAGGTGGGAGGCTGTTGTAGCAGTAGCCTGGCCTGTGCCTCCTCAGTGGAGCAGATGCTCTGCATAGTAAGTGGCTGGTGTGGAGTGGCTGGGGAGGTTGATTCAAGCAAAGGGCACACTAGAGTCAGCCACTGTGCCAGCCGTGGGCAGCCCAGGGAGCACACACTGCCAGGGAGGGCAGGGCTGCAGCAGGCGATGTTAGCTGTCATCCCACACCAGCCACAGCTGGCACCTTTCTTTGTCCAAGCAGCTGTCACACTGCATGGGGAGGCTGCATGGATGAGCTCTCCCTCCCCTGAGAGCAGCTGGTCATCAGAAAGATCTGCACTTAGATCAGCTCTTTATTCTTCCTGAAACCCTAGGCTTTCCCTCCCAGGTGTCAGTTCTAGCTGCTACCTAAAGATCTGGATGTCTGGCAAGACTGATGCATGTTGCTTCAAACTCAGGGAGATTATGCAGACCCATGTCTGGGGAGCTGTTAGGAGACTGAGCTCTTTCAGGGTGGGGCTCACACATCTGAGGTGGTTTGTCTTTGTGGTCCCAGCACCAAGCCATGGTGGGCATTGGCACAGGAGTGGGTGGGGTCAGGGTGGCGAGGTTGGGCCTGGTTGCATCCTCTCCAGACTTGCAGGTGTGTTGTGTCCACAGAAGGACATAGGGCGGGAGCAGATCACCACCAAGGGGAAACCAAGGGCAAGACCTTAGAATGGACCCAGGGTTGACCTTGTTCATGGGCAGTAGACAGACAAGAGCCACATGAAGGCATCTCTCGTCCCAGCTTCTCAGCTCTGCTATGAACCACCCCAGGCCATAAATCATGACCCACAGCCTCATGATTTATGGTGACTTTTGGGCGAGAATGGTCAGCTCCATTATAAAGAAACTCTGTTTCCATTTGTTAATTGAGCCATCACAGCGTTTGATTTCACTGTGCAGTTGGCACCCGCTCCCGGCAGAGTTAATCACTGCCGTCCTCATGAGAAACTGTGCCCGTGGACACGGTGTGCCTGGAGCAGGTGCTTCTCCCAGGTGCTCTGGATGACTCTCCTGCCCTTGGTTCTCAGTTATTTATAGCATCACAGGAATCTGTGTTGGAGGAGACCTTAGAGGGCGTCCATTTTACAAATATTTAGCAGTGCCTGCTGGGGTGTGGGCACCGCCAAATCATGGCTCAGAGGATGTGTCCAGATCCCTGTCTTGTTTGGTGTTTTATTCTGGGGATATAAAATTGCTTTTAAGAAAACACTCAGGTCCCTCTTTTACCTCTTTTGAATGAATACAGAGCATTTCTGTTCCAGGAGCAAGCATGCAGAGGCTCCCTTGCACACAGTAGGTTTTCAATGAATGTTAGTAGTTTTTCTTCCCTGTCTCTGTGTTTTTTTTTTGAGACAGAGCCTCAAGCTGTCCCCCTGGGTAGAGTGCCGTGGCATTACAGCTCACAGCAACCTCCAACTCCTGGGCTCCAGCGAGTCTCCTGCCTCCGCCTCCCAAGTAGCTGGGACCACAGGCGCC